GGGGACAGAAGGAAACACTGTTCCAGGCAGCCCCACGGTCAAGCTGAGCCCCTGGGGGTGGGGGAGTGGCCTGTGGCTGTGTGAGACGGTGAGCTCCCTGGGGGCCCAGGGTGGGGGCTGGAGTCTGTGCTTTCAAACCGTGGCCCTCAGAAACTCCTGGGGTCCCACTCAGGAAGGAGCTCAAGGATCAGGACTGCTCTGGGCCCCCATCAGCAGGGTCCCTTCGCCTGTCCCTGGGAGAGTCTCACTGCCCCGTCTTCTGTTTGACCTGTGCTATCACCTGGGGCTGAGCTTTGAGGTAGGTTCTGCACTGCAGGGCATATCATGCTCCTGGCAGGGCTGTGAGGAGATAGAAGTGAGGACCCCAGGCTGCCCACCTGCCCTGATCCTGGAGCTCCAGGTAGCACAGGACAGGGCGCCAAGCAGGGTCCCCCATCACTCAGCCCTCTCCCTCCCATCCTTAACCTTCTCTGAATCACTTCACTTCCATAACTAGGACCCAGAGGGATGGAGGAAGAGGGAAGCAGTAACCTTCTAAATGTAGCAGGAAGGCACACCTCCGGGTGGGGGGGGAGGGTGGGGTAGGATGGGAGCCACCAGCTCTGGCCAAGCCAGCCACTCCCTCCTCCCGGCCCCTGGCATTTGGAACCCCACACCTGGACTTTCGAAGCTTCCCTGCTGGGGCACCGACATCCCGGAGAGAAGTGCTCACTGGCTCTGCACCCCGGCCCCCAGCCCTACCACACCTCTTTGAGCAAGCAGCCCTCAAAGGCCCTGTGCGTGGAGTGGGGGACAGCTGCCTTATCGTGGCCACCCCATGGCCATGGCACTGGCAGCCAGCGAGAGACACCTATGGCCCCACAAGTAAGATCCAGCTGCCAGCTGACCCTTAGGCCCTTGGGCCTGGCCCCTGCCTGAGCGGACTCCTCCAGCACTGGGGGCCTACGTGGAGGGTCCCCAAGGGTCTCTCATGAGTCAGCACCTGCTCTGCAGCCCACCAGATTGGGGGTCTTAGGTTGAGCCCAGAAACACCAAGAATGTGCGTGTGGGGCCGGGGGACACTGAGAAATCCAGAAGTCTCTGGAAGGCTGCCTGGTGCCACTGTGTCCTCCCAGGCAGGTGGGGCAACTTGAAGTAGAGGCCGCTGAGGCCCATTTCTGGGTGAGCCTGGTTCTTCTCGCCCCGAGGGATCCCAGGAACAGGACGGACACCTGCAGGGCTGGAAGGTCACCCAGCACCCACAGCGCACCCAGCCTGGGCCACAAGGAGGAGGGGCCCGATCAAGGGGCAGGGCACCTGGCTCCTCCCCAGCCCCAGGGTCCTTTCCAAAACCCTGCCGGTACAAGGGTGACGTCCTGCTCCCTTGCCCGGGCACCTGGACTCTACGCCTTATGGACCGTACGAGCAAAGCAAAGCTCTTCCCGTGATGGGATTTCAGGTACGGAAACAGGGCTAGGGGATGGTCTGGGGCCTGTCTCCCTGTCTGGGCTTGGAAGCAGTTATGAGACAGGGATTTGGGGTGAAGCAGATTTCTGAAAGCTGAGCTGAACTAGGTGCTGGGGTGGGCACAGGAGAAGGACCCTCAAACCCAGGGAAGAATGGAGGGCTTTCAGGCATGCAGCCTGGCGAGGCAGGGAGGGTGGGTGGCCTGTCAGCACCTGCCAGGGCCACACCCAGCCAGAGGGGCAACTGGGAAGCAGCCACACCTGCCGGCTTTCACTCTGTGCCCCACACCGCTTGACGGCCTGACAGTGGCCAATCTGTGGCAGGGACAAACCATCCACTTCTTCTCGGCCCGCTTGGCCCAGTGGCAGTTTCCCCAGAGCTGTGCAGCCAGACAGCCTGCGGAGGCTAGGGAGAGTGCACACGCTCACTCGGCGAAATCAGGCACAGGATGTCCGAGCCCCTCCCGCCCACTAGGGTTGCAGCCCCTTTCCCGGAAGGATGGCGACAGATCTGCCAAGTGACAGTCATGTGCTGTCTGGAAGTGAGAGTTACATACCCATTAGCAAGGCTTCTCATCGGTCTCTTTCCCGGCCAGGTTTGGCGGCCCTGCCACAGGGAGGTGGCCACCAGCTGCATTAGGTTGGAGGAGCAGCCAGTCCCAGGCAGGGGACACGGCTCTTTTCCCTGCGGAGACTGGCGATACCTCTCCTAGGCTCCCTGGCCAGCCCCTGAGGAGAAGACTCTTATGTCCATTTCACAGACAAGGAAGGCGAGGCTCCCACAGGTCAGTCCCCTGCCCCGGGACACAGGCTCTCCTGCCCTGCTCCTGACGGCAGCGGGTCTCAGGTGCCAGCCACCTCTGATGTAGGCTCCCGGACCCACCCGAGGGACTGGATTTCCACGATGCTTGGCCAGGGTGTCTGCACTGCCTTCCCCATTTGGGCCGGCTGGCCCCGCACTCAGGGAGCCCAGTTCTCACAGGCCCCAAAGCAGTCAGGGCACACCTGCTTGATGCCTGACACTCAACCCCCACCCTCTGCACCTTGGCTTGGGGAGGGGGACAGCAAGTGTGAGTGTGTGTGCAGGTGGGAGCATGCGTGTGCGTGTGTATGTGTATGAGTGCGCATGCGTGCGCGCGTGCGTGGGCTCCTTCCTGGGGAAGAAGTCTTCTCTAAAGTGGAACTTTTAACAAGTGCCCATCCAGACACCCATTGTCAGCCTCCTCCCCACCAGCCTCCCCTGAGCCCACAGGACTACACTGTGTCCCTCTGGGCCCTGCAGGGGTCCCGCAGCCCCTCCTCACGGCACATCCTGCCCGGCCAGGCTGGGTGCTCTGAGGCAGGAGCCCCTTTGGAGCCCTGCCTAAGACCCGTGCCCTGAGCCCTTCCTGCACCAAGGCCCCCACCAGCACTCAGGCATGTCAGCGAACCCACCAGCAACCCCAGGAGGCAGGCTCACTGAGGACCCACAATGCAGACGGGGGAGGCCCAAGCCCACGGCACTGTGCTCTCAGCCACACCCCCTGTGATGCCAGGGTGGAGGGGGCTCCCGCAGGGTGGTGCTCACCAGCCCCCCCTCACCCAGCCTGGCATTTCTGGCTACCACAGAGCCCCAGTGGATGGATGGGTCACAGTGACTGTGGACGGAACCAGTTCTGAATGCTTAGCGCGAGGAGGCCCTTGGGAGCGCGGGGGGCCTCGGAACCATTTCCTTGAGGCTTAATAACGAGCACCCCTGGGATGCGTCAGGCCTCCGCCCCAGCTGCCTGGAAAACTTCCAGGCCCACCCTGGTGACGCTCCCAGAGGGCTGCCAGGGAGACCTCTCAGCCTGGGCAGGCAAGAGGGACTCATCCAGCGCTGACACACTGTCCAGAGAGCAAAAGTCCACCTCTGGAGAAGTCCCCTTCCCCGACTCCCCTGCAGCCCCTACCCCCAGGTCCAAGCTCTCCTCGGCAGGGGATGGGGCTCCAGGGCCAGGAGAGGGATGTCCTTGGGTCCCAGGCCTCTCCCACCTGCCTGGCTGGAAGCAGGCCGCCATTAAGGACCTGCTGAGGTCCCAGGGCCATGCCTGGGGAGGGCAACCCTTTCTCAGGCAGCCTCGCTGCCCCCACTGCCCAGGCAGAGCCGATGGACGGGGTGACTCCCACCAGTGTCCCAGGAAGGCTGTGCAGAACAGCCTTGGGGAAGGTGGGATGTGACTGCCCCACTCTTCCCCCAGCTGAGAGTTCAGTCCAGCCTCTGTCCTTTCCCCTCCAAATAATCTCCCTGCCCCAGATCCGTGCTGGGATCCTTAGCCCTCCAGATGGAAAACAGATGTCCCTGGTCCCACACACCGGCTCCAGGGGCCATTTTAAAAGTTTGCCCTCCCTGCCTCAACTTGAGAAACACTCAGTCTACTGGGACATCAGCCGAGTCTTCCAAGAGAAGGGGGTGACAGCCTGGGGGGAGGCACGGGGAGGGGCTTGCAGTCTCTGCCCAGGGGCGTGGCCACAGGGAAGCCGCGGCCATGGACACCCACTCCAGTCCTTCCAGGCCAAGAAGGGATTTCCACCCCCTCCTCAATTCCAACACTGGCGGAAATGGAAACAAAAGGCGAAAGCCCATCAGTCACTTCCCAACAGCAAAGCCTGTGGGCAGGAGAAAGCCACCCTCGGCGGGAGACCCTCCTTCACCCAAGTTGGCACCCAAAGATGCCCAGTGTGGGGGCCCCTTTCTAAAGCAGCGGGCCCACGCCCAGACCTTGGCACCCACTCCAAGCCCCTGGTGCCACTTTATTCCTTGTGCCAACTAAGGGCAGCGGGACCCCACTCCCGCAAGGCCTGCAGAGCCCTTCTGGGGAGAGGCCTAGGCTGGAACGTGTCTGGGTGAGAAGTGGGAGACCGGCCCCCAGGTAGGGACCGCCGGGGTGCGTGCACCCCAGCTTTTGGGCCATCCCGGAGGGTGTCTGCGCTCCTTTCCTAAGCGCGACCCCCAGGAAGGTCCCAGGTGCTGACAGCAGACTGTAGAGTAAGCTGGGCCGGGGAATGGGTGAGGTGGATCGCCCCCAAGGCTCCGGCAAAGTGTGCGCCCCCGCCCCACCATCCAGGGGCGGCGGCCCTGATGAGCTCATGGGGGCGGGGCTCCAGGAGTCCCGCCCGCGAGCCCCCCCTTCGTCCCCGCAGGGCAACAGACCCGAATCCGCGGCCAGCGGACCCCGCGTGCCCCTCCTCAGCTGAGGGGTGACCGGGTACTCGGATCCAGGTCGCGCCCACCGCACCCATCACCACCACTTAGCAGGAACTGCCCGGCGGCCCCCAGAACCCCCGCCCGGCCGCCGGGCTGGGCCCCCGCGCACAGAGGCCCCGAAACTCGGCTCGCAGCCCCCAGCCCCAATGTCGGGGGGCGCGGCGGCCCCAGGCGAACCCCCACTTCGCTCCCGGAGCCCACAGGTGGCCCCACAACTTCGCGGCCCGCGCTGCGCCCTCGGGGCCTAGCGCCCGGCTGCGGGACCTGCCGGAAACCGAGGTAGGGTGCGTGCCCGCCCCCTCCCGCCCGGACCCCGGCCCCGCCCTTACCCAGAAGACGAAGTTGAAGACGAAGAGCAGGTACTTGATGCACTTGGTGCAGCCCTCCACTCCCATGGCGGCGCGGGCGGCGGGCGGCCTGCGGGGCGCGGGCCGGTCCTGGGCGGCGGGCGGGCAGGCGCGTGGCCCGGCGGGCGGCCGGCAGGGGGGCCTGGCGGGCCGAGAGGCTGGGGCGCGAAGACCGCGGCGCGGGGGCGCGGGGGGCGCGGGAGGATGCGCGGTGGGGTCGCCTCGCCGGATGCGCGGTGGGGTCGCCGCTGTCGCCGCAGCTGCGCGCTCGCTCTCTGGCCGGGCGCGCGCCCCGCTCCGCACCACTTAAAGGCGCCGCGGCCCCTCCCCCCGTAGGCCCCGCCCCGGCCGGCTCCAGCCCCGCCCCTGCCCCGCCTCCTGCCGCCGGGGGGTGTGTGGGGCGCTGCACCTCCCCCCAACTCGGCGCATTTCGGCCGGGACCTCAGGGCCTCGGGTGCACCGCGCTGGGCGCGGGAGGCGTCCCCGAGCTGCTGTCGCGCTCGGAGCCCCCGAGGGGGTGGCGGCAGGGCCGCGGCTGGGGACAGGCATGCAGCCTCTGCCCGGGAGAGCAGCCCGGGTGCTTGGAGAACAACATATTCCTCCCTCCCTCAAGCGTCTTGGACAATCCGGGAGGGCTCTCCGAAGGAGGGGTTGCCGCAGCGGTTGGCTTTGCAAAGACAGTAAGCTTTGCTCACATTGCTCTCGGGGGCTGGAACCTGGGCAGGCAGGAGGCCCCCTAGCTAGTGCGTGTTGGCCTGAAGGTCCTAGTACAGGCAACCAATCCCTGTCCCAGGGAAGCGGGGAGTTGCTGACCCATGCTGCGGGAGTCTGCATCGGAAGAAGTCACTGGGGCCTGAGAGGGCAGCTCCCAGACCAGTGTAAAGTGTCTGGGAGGCCAGAGCCACCTGCAGGAGAACCTCCAAATACTGCATCTATTTCATCTATGCCCCGGTGTGTCGGGCCCCAGGGATGACAGCCTTCCTGAAGGTATGGGGCCAGGCACGCTGCACTCACTGCTTTGGGCTAATGATTCAGAGTGAGGGGTGCTTTCTCCCCAGAGGAAGGAGCAAAGGCTTTTGCAGCAGATGACTCACCGACGGCTTCCCACGACGCAGATGCGTCATGGGGGGGAGCTTACCTGGGAACCACGTGGGACAAGGTCCGGAGAACCGGTCTTCTGGCCAGCCCGTCTTAGCAAATTCCGTCCAACCCAGCACTGGCAGATAGAACCTTCTGCAACCATGGGGATGTTCTGTACCTGGATAACCCCTGGCGTGAGTGACTACTGGGTACCGGAAATGTGGCCACAAGGAACTGAATTTTTCATTGTGTTTCATTGTAATTTAAATTCACGTGGCCTCGGGTGGCCAGTAGCACTCACAGTGGGCAGAACGGTTCTATTGGAATCGTCTGTGCTCAACTAGTTTTTTTTGGTGGTTACTTTTTAAACTGGTTTTGGCTTCACGCCTGCATAAGAACTACAAGCACCAGTTTATGCCTAGTTTTACATGTTGTGCCTGTCAAAGTGACATTATAAGAAAAGACTCTTAAATGGTCGCTTGAGAGTCTTCGAGGATTCTTTTTGTCTTGAAGGGGACAGGAAGAGTTCCAGCGTGAGGAAACACTTCTCTGGATGTCCTGGACACCTGCTCTCCTATCAGCTCACTGCTGTCCCCGGTGATGGGGACACTTCCCGTTAAAGGCGGGGGCTGTGTCCTCAGCAGGGGGAGGTGGGTGGAGGGAGACACTGATCCCACTCTCAGAAAGCTGGAGGAGAGGGCAGATCCATGAACACTGTGTCCTTGACCACCAGCCTCAGAAGCAGGCCATGCCCAGCCAGCAGCCAGCCTGTCTGTCCTCTTCAGCCATGCAGCAAATATTTAGTGGGTACCTGCTGTGTACCAGGCACTCTTCCAGGCTCTGGCTATGGCAGTCAGGCAGTAGACCCCTCCCCTTGAGGATCTGCAGCTCTGGCAGAGATGACAGGTGTCACAGCACTATGGTCATATCAGTGCTGGGGAGGGAGGGAATACCTAGGATGCTTGCTAGAGGGTCACGGGGTTGGGGCATTCCTCCAGGGCAGAGGCTTGGAGGAGCACAATGGATCCAAGCTCTGATGCCTGCAAAGGAGCCAGCCAGGCAGAGCTGGGGAGGAGCACTCCAGGCAGACGGGTGAGGTTGCAGGAACACAAGGGAAGCGGTGGACCCAAAGCAGACAGAGCTGGTAGAAAGGACTGGACACAGGTCAGGGGCAGGTGCAGGCCCAGGAGGCAGGGAGCCAGCTTTGGGACCTGGAGGCCAGAGGGGGGCTGCATTTCATTCTGACTGTAGTGGGGTGATGAAGGGCTTCATGGGCGTGACTTCTGGATTTCGAGGACAGCAGGCCATTTCAGCTCCAGAGTGGAACTGACAGGCTTCTGGGAGGCTTGCAGGGAGGACTGGCGATGAGGAGGAGCAGTTCACAGGGCTGGCCCATGGGAGCTCCACCTCTGAAGTGCCCTTCCCAGCAGCCCAATGGTGTGACCTCATGGGGACCTCAGGTATCCATGGCTGACAAGGGCATGGTTTCTGTCTGTGTGATACTGGGACAGACAGGAGACAACCAGGAGTGTGTCTGAAAGGGCTCCTGTTCTTGGCTGGGCCTGATCGAGCTTTTGTCCTGGCTCCAGGACAAATATCCAGGTGGACTATGTCAGAGGATGAGGGGGAGAAATGGGAGGGGCTGGCCTAGCCAGCCTGGGCTGGGATGGGAGCGCCCTCTCCCTGGGCATCCCTTGATTGGGCCGGCTGCCTGAGAACGCTTATGCCTGGGGAAGGTGAAGGTGCGGGATCCATGTGGGCACAGCCAGCGGCATGGTGTGGGAAAGCAGGTGTTTGCAGCACGGCTGGGTTTGCATAGGAGTCTTCTCCTCCCTATGACTGCGGGCTGGTCCCTCAGTTTCCCCATCTGCAGAAGGACAGGTGACATAGGCATATATTCTCATTGCACTTGCGGGGCAGGGCCTGGCCTGTGGGAGGCATCAGGTCCCTGACTCCTTGAAGCCACGTTTGACAGAGAGGTCTTTCCGCCCGGTGTGAGGTGACTCACTGCCCAGTGGAGCATACCTTGGCGGGGCCATTAATGAGACCCCTGTGCCTTGATTTCCCCTGGAATACATGAAGATCACTCATATGAGGACAAGCAGAGGCTGTTTGTGCAGAGCCCGCTGTAGCAGGGAGGCGGCCACCGGCACTCACGTTGGGCAGACACGCACAGGCAGGTTGCGGAGTGGGACAGCTTTCTACTGAAAGGCGTGCTGGGAGAGTTTGGATGTTATCAACATCCAAAAAGCAACCAAAGTGATAAATATGCCATGTCCATAGAATAAGGGACAGAAAGCATGCGATCATCTCAACAGTCACAGGATAAGCTCCCGAACAAAAGCTCACACTCTTCCCTGATAAAAAAGTGCTGAACTCACTAGACATAGAAGAGAGCCGCCTCCACCCGGTAAAGACCACTGACGAAAATCCCCCAGCTAAGGGGGTGCTCAGTGGTGAAAGCCAGATAGCTCTTCCCCTACGATCAGGAGGAAGGCGCAGCAAGCCCTCCACACTTCCATTCAACGCTGTCTGGAAGGCTCTGGCAATTAGGTGAGAAAAAGATGTCAAGGGCACCCATAGTGGAAAGTAAGAAGTAAAATGCTGTGTCTGAATATCCATGTCCCCCCGCCCCAAAGTTGAAATCTTTACTCCCCAGCTGATGGAATTTGGAAGTGAGACTTTTGGGAGATTAGGTTACGAGGGCAGAGCCTTCATAAATTGGATTAGTGTCTGTATAAAAGAAGCCCCCGGGCCCCTTCGTTTCACTGTGGGGGGACACAGTGAAAAGACAGCCATCTATGAAACCAGAAGCAGGCCCCCACCAGACACCAAATCTACTGGTGCCTTGACCTTGTACTTCCCATGCTCCAGAACTGCGGGAAATACAGTATGCTGTTTATAAGCCACTCAATTTATGGTACACTGTTGTGGCAGCTGAAAGGAACTAAGACACAAAACTCTCTGTTTGCTGATGATATGACATTATACATAGAAAATCCACCAAAAACCTATTAAAACGAATAAACATGCATACCAATGTGGCAGGATACAAGGTCAATATACAAAAATCGATCTTATTTCTATACAATAGCAATGAACAATCCAAAAAATGAAGAAGACCATCTCATTTATACTATCAGCAAAAAGAACATGCCTAGAAATAAATTTAGCAAAAGGAGCATAAGACTTGTGTACTGAAAAATGAAGAATATTTTTGAAAGGAATCAAATAATATCTAATTAAATGGAAAGCTATCCCCAAGTCATGGATCAGGAGACGTAATATTGTGAAGATGGCAACACTCCTAAATTCAGCTACAGCTTCAAGGCAATCTCTATCAAACTCCTACCTGGCTTTTTACAAGCTGGTCCTCACATCTGTCAGGAAATTCAAGGGTTTCAGAATAGCCAAAACAATCTAGAAAGAGAAGAACAAAATTGGAGCGCTCACATTTCCTGATTCAAACTTACTGCAAAGCTACAGTAATTAAGACAGTGTGGTACTGGCATAAGGAGAGACATACAGATCAATGGAGTAAATTGAGATTCCAGACACAAATCCTTGCATTTATGGTCAATTGATTTTTTTTTAAAGATGATTCAAGTGCAGTGGTGAGAAGGGGGGAAAGAGTAGAACGAGGTGTTCCATCTGTGACTGACTGTGAACAATCAATTGAGATAACTCACTACCTTCAGACCAGCCAACAGTTGGTTTTTAACAAGGGTGCCAAGACAATTCAATGGGGGAAGGAATAGTCTTTTCAGAAAACGGTGCTGGGACAACTGGATATCCAAGTGCAAAAGAATGAAGCTGGACCCCTTCCTCATGCTATGCACAAAAATTAACTCAAAATGGATCATAGACCTCAATGTAAGCACTAAAATTATAAAATCCTTAGGAAGGCCGGGTGCAGTGGCTCACACCTGTAATCTCAGCACTTTGGGAGGCCGAGGCGAGCGAATCACCTGAGATCAGGAGTTTGAGACCAGCCTGGCCAACATGGTGAAACCCCATCTCTACTAAAAACAAAAATTAGCTGGGTGTGGTGGTGTGTGCCTGTAATCCCAGATACTCGGGAGGCTGAGATAGGAGACTTGCTTAAACCCCGGAGGCAGAGGTTGTAGTGAGCCAAGCTTGTGCCACTGTGGTCCAGCTTGGGTGACACAGAGAAACTTCGTCTCAAAAAAAAATAAATAAATAAAATAAAAAATAAAATC